GTGGCCACACAGCCACACCCCCTTGGAGGCATGGGGGGCCCGTAGGATGTGGGGCGCCGAGCCCAGCCCCCCATACTGACTTGGTGCCCTAGACCCCGTGCGTGTGAGGACAACAGGGCGTAGCTGGGAAGCCGCTTCCTGGGGCTTCACTTTCTCACCAGTAAAGAGGGTCAATACGCATCGGGAACCACAAAATAGTCAACTCCTGACTCCACAATGCCATTTCTCAGACTCCGTTTTGGGAATCAACCTGCATAAGAATACATGTTACGCACTGACAAGAGTTTATAAATTTCTCATTGGAGGACAATGAAAACAACTTCAGCTCCAACCGTAGGGGCCTGGGCGAGGAACCAGGGCTGCTGCTGAAAGGCTGTGATATCACAGCGTATTCTGTTGTTATGTTAAATGAAAACATTTCTATAAATTAAACAGATCGCCTGAGAAAAGTTGGAAAGAAAACCACGAAAAAAGTGACCAGTAGTTGTCTTGTGGGTAGGGCTAGGGTTTTGAAAACTGTTGGATTTGTTGCCCTCTCTACATGTTTGGAAGACTAACTTAGCAGTTCCAAATGACCACCAGCTCTCAGGGGGCCCAGCTCCTCTGCTGGTGAGTCTGGACCCACGACTCCCCGCCTCCACTCTCAGTTCCTCATTGATAATCACAGGACAAGCACAACACCTTCTCATCAGGTAATACTTATCGGTCAGCACTCGCCACCAATGAACACTCACTGTTACTTTGGAGCCGGACAAACATAACGAACTTCAATAATAAAACTAAAGGGATGTGGAGGATGAGGGGACAGGGCTTCTTTCTGGGGTGACGGAAGTGTTCTGGAATCGGATAGTGGTGACGGCTGCACAACCTTGGGAATATCAAAGACCACGGAACTGCTGTACATTTTAAAATGATGCACTCTCTGGTACGTGAATTCTATCTTGATTTAAAAGATGGAAGGAAGATAAAGGAAAATCATAAAAGGATGGTGACTGGGGCACGTTCCTGTTGGAACAAGGACTGAAGATGTTTTGAAAGTGCCTCCCTCGCGGCAGAAGTCCCAGAGAACATGCCCCCTTTCAGCTCTGGGGCCTTTCCTGGGAAAAAGTCTCGCGAGCAGAAAGGGAGGGGATCAGCCACCACAGCAGGGGGGGCGGAGAAAGAGGGGGGGGGGGGGCGGGCAGCCGGCACTGACTGCGGCCCCAGTCCAGCCAAGCCCCTGGGGAGAGAAGCACTTACCCAGGAAGCCCTCCTCATCGACAATGATGGTGTAATCCTCCGGGGTCTCGGTCAGACTGAAGAACTTGCACCTGGGTGGACGGACAGACAGACACGGGGTATTGTAAGTCCCAGCAGACCCTGTGGCAGCCGCCCGCCTCACCCCCCGCCCCCTCTCCCATCGCCGTGACCCGGTTTACCCAGAGTTCTGCCCCAGGCTGCTGGGGGGCTACTTATTTCTCCCTCCACTGCCTCAGTTTTGACTCAGGAGGACTCAGAGAGGCCTAGGGACGCTGATTGTTTCCTCTGCACCCCCCGATCTTTGAGGACCCCTGAGCCGGCCAGCCTACAGGGTCCCCTACAGGCCCAAGGGCAGCTCTGGCAGGGCTCATGCAGATGAACTGTGTTTTCCGTGCCCTCCGCTCCCCACACACATTCTGACCTTGAGGCCTCTGTCGCTGTGTCGTGTCCCCTGCCCATGGTCCTGGCCCCTCTCCTCACCAACTCGAGAGCTCCCACAGTCATTTACGGCCTAATTCGCATCACCCAACGGACAGCCCAGCCTTTCAGGTACTTTTCTCCCTTGCAGGAGAGAGGGGCGTGGCTGTCTGTGCCATTGTGTGGCAGGGATCCCTGAACTGCGACATGCTGCCTTTGGTAATACTGCTTAGCCTGGGGTGTAAGTTGCTCATTTCCTCCCCCAAATGGGACCATCAATTTCCCAAGGCCAGGGAGGGTCTGGCAATCACTCTGTCAGTCTGTATCTCATCCCTGCTGGTCTCAGCCCTGAGCACGCTCTTGGCACCTGGCAGACACGCTGGGCTACGTGTCCAGACAGCCCTTGGGCTGGGCTTTGAGGCTGTCTCCAGCTGAGGGGCTTACCACCCCCTCAACGCCCGTCTCCCTGTTCCCCATCCAGCTAGACTGGCCCCCAGAACACCCCAGGCGCAGCTGTAGGGAGAGACGGCACGCACAGGCAGTGGTGTGCAGCAAACTGCCCACGGTCATTGATTTATCTGGTGTCGCTGATCTCAAGTATGGGGCTCAGCTCGGGCTCCGTGCCCGATGTGTAAAACCCATCCATCACAGGAAGCCGTGACAGAAGGAGGCCCAACGAATAAGCCTGGCAAGGGCCCGAACAGCACTTCTACGAAGATTAAAATGGGAAAGGAATCCTGAAGTGGATGCGGCGTTGCCGGGGATGGGGGTGGCCGGAATGTCCGCGGATCTCTCCCCACCTGGTTCCCCTCTCCTGGCAGCCATCCTGCCACACTGAAGCCTTATCAACAGAAGCCCCGCAGCACCCTTTTCACTTTATTCTTTAAATTTTCACAAGTAATGAGATCAGCTGGAACTGGTAGGACTGCAAAACGGTACAGCCGTTTGGAAGATGGTTTGTCAGGTTTCTATAGAGTGAAACACACATGACCACTGGCAACCCTGCTCCTGGGTATTTAGTCAACGGAAATGAAAACATAAGGCCCCACAAAGGCCAGTATGCAAATGTTTACAGCCTTTATCTGTAATCACCCCGAACTGGAAACAACCCAAACGTCCTCCCTTCAGCGGGAGAACTGGGTAAACTGTGGCACATCCACACCAGGGAATACTGGTCAGCAATGAAAAGGACTGAATTACTGATTCTTGCAACAATGTAGACGAATCTCAAGAGCATTTTGCTAAGTTACAGCCACACTCAACAGGAGGCATACTATGTGATGCCATTGATGTGACATTCTGGAAGAGGCTACACTGTAAGGATGGAGAAAGATTCCTAGTTGCCTGGGGTTGGGTTGGGGCTGACATTTAAGGGCCACCGGGGAACTTTTGGGGTGAAGGAGGTGGTTGGTTCTTGACGGTGGTGGTGACAAGATATACATTTGTCAAAACCCGAAGGACTGTACCCTAAAAGGGGCGGCTTCTACTGTGTATGTGACTTACACTTCAGTGAACCCGACTTCAAGGAAGACGCTTCGCCAGAGTTGTAAACAAGGTGGCGTTTTCCCCACCACCACCACCACCACCACGACACTCTGCTCAACCAGCAGCACCACACTCTTCAACTTCCCTCCAGCTCTTTGGTTTTCAGGTTACATTTCTGTCCCTGCCTGTCCCATATCCAATTTGCAACTACTGCCCAGACAAATGAAATCTATAACTGCTGGGCAACAGTGGCAAATTATCACTTAGTGAATGGCAACCACTGGTCTGGCCTAGCTCCTCCTTGGGGAGCCCTGTGTGCTAAGAAGAGCCTCAGAAGCCCGCCCCCACCCCCACCCCGCCAATCACCAGATTGCCACAAGTAAGGACTCCCTGGGTGGGGGGAGTGGCCACCCAGTCATCCCAGAGCCCTGAGAAGGCAAACAGATGTGGTACTTGCTCCCTGTGCCCTCTCGGTGGTGAGGGATGCTCCAGAAATAGACCATATAAATGGCCCTGGAGGGCAAAAACACTGGCAGAAGGCAACATCGGCCTCTGCTGCCGATGGGGTATGACTATGCTGTTGATGTGACCCGTCTCCAGGGGCCGACTGCCAGCTATTATCTCGGAATGTGCACCTTGGCGTGGGCAGGCCTCCAGGAGGGCGAGTCAGTCGGAGGGACCTGCAGCTACTGCTCTGGTCACACACTCGGGAGCAGGCCTCCTGCTCTCCTAATTTTACCCCCTCAAGTCCTACACATCTCTGAGCTCACCCCATCTTACCTCCCAAGTCGCTCTGAGATCTGTTTTCCCCTCTCTCCATCACCCCCTCCACGTGAGTGCTTGCCTAGAAGCCTCCCCTTGCCTCACTTCCCCACTCTTGCCTGCCTCCTTGTCTCATGCCCCCAACAGTGGACAAATACTCTTTCCACTGCCCGGCACCCCCTTCCCTCTTCTTTGGCTGGAGACGTGCCGCTCATCCTTCAAGACCCAGTTTAAGCGTCTTCTTTGGGGTGAAACCTTTTCTGATTGGCCCCACCATCTCCTCTCTCTCACTTCCTACCACAGGGGTGGTCCTGTCTGGATGTTAAAGCCACTGTGGACAGCTGGGCTTGGTGGTGCATCACACCTCGAAGGGACAGTTCATTTATCTCACAGTGTATGTGAACGATACCCTTAGAGTTGGGCTGTGTACAACCTGAACAACTGCACATGATGGTCCTGAGTGCTTTCCACACTCTATTACAAGAAATACTTGTTTCCCCCAGTGGACCATAAACTCTCACAGGCAGGGACGGTGGGTTCTCTGTACACACACCTTGTACCTGACACTGGCTGGACAGAGAAACAACACTCAAAGTCTGATGAGCAAAAGAGTGAACTGTGGCCACATGCCTACCCCCAAAGCCAGAGGAGCCCCAATCAGAGCAAACACCGCTTGCCCCTGTGTGGCACTGCCTTGACTTGCCCCCTCTCCGGGAGGCGCTCAAGTCTCCAGTCCCAACTTCACGCTCTCTACTGAGCCGTGGCTAGATCAACACCCCAGATGCCGGGCCCCAGTGTTTGTGGCCTCTCTGTACTTTGTCTACAAGGGGCTGGAGAGAGGCCCGAAACCCAGCAACTACCCAGCCCGCTGCTGAGTGCTGTTGGGAAACCCAGGGAGGAGGTGTTTGCCCTCTAGACACCCGCATGGTGCTTAGAAACAGGATGAACCAACAGGGTTAGAGAAAGCAGCCTTGGGAGCACGGGTTCCAGTCCCAACCTGGCACCTGGCGGTGGTGAACCCTGGGCTGCTTCATTCCTCTGTACAATGAGCGACAGGTTCAAGGTGGACCAGTTTCCATCCAGCTCCGGTTTGGGCAGGGAGGGCACAGGCCACATGGAACCCTGTCAGCGCCATAGCGAGGTGGACCTCAAGGGGCCTGGCTGACAAGGCACGGAGAGACGACCCCAGAACCATTGAGTCTGTTTGGAAAATGCTTTTCAAGGGCAGGCAAAAATTCCAACTAGCTCTGATCAGAACCCAAGACAGATCTGCTGCCCAGGCAGCTGGGCAGGTGGTACATCACAACTCTGGTGGGGAGGGCTCATTCATTGCACAGTCTGTGTAAAGAGTGCCCTTAGAGTTGGGCAGTGCACAACCTGTGCAACTGTGTGTGATGGCTGACCAGCAGGTCCTGCTGGCACAATCAGATAGATAGGATACAAAACTCTAGAGTCCTGGGCAATGAAGTAGGGAGACTGGGGAACAGCAGCTCTGGGGAGAGCCCCGGTTCACTGTGGTTCAGGACATACCCCAAGAGTCATGCAAGTCCGACTTCCCTGGTGGCACAGTGGTTGAGAGTCTGCCTGCCAATGCAGGCGACATGGGTACGATCCCTGGTCCGGGAGGATCCCACATGCCGTGGAGCAACTAAGCCTGTGCGCCACAACTACTGAGCCTGCGCTCTGGAGCCTCAGCCTAAATAAATAAATAAATAAATAAAATAAAAAAAATAAAAGAATCATCCAAGTCCCCTGTCCAGGAGGTGCCAATGCATCCTTGGGCTCTGTGCACAGAGTACGGGTGCTGGATAGTACTGGAGGCCATACCAGAAAGTCTGTGCCTGTTCAGATCCTCACGGCCCACACGGAGCATGCCCAGAGGAAGCGAGGGGACTTTACACTGAAATCCCTTCAGCCTGGCGGAAGATTCCAGCCACCATCTTTAAACCTCTATGGCTGTTGTGGACCATGGGATGGAAGCAATGCTGCTGCTTATGGCTGTGTGACCTTAGGCAAGTTACTTAACCTCTCTGTGCCTCGGTTTTCTCATGTGTACAGTGAGATGATAATATTTAATATCTCCTTCATACGGTTGTTGTTGAAGAATAAATGCCCAGCACGACTATGGTAAGCACTCAATATGTTGGCTGTTTTTCCTTCTTGGAGGACAGAGGCAGCTGAAGTGGGGGACCACGGGGAGGCCAGCTTGCATTCCCAGTAAGAAAAGCTCTAAAGCCAAATGGGCTACAGAGACCAACGGGCTGTCTTGGGAGGTGGTGAGACGTCAGGTGTCTGAGGGGCTGAGCCCCAGGCAGGCGGGCTGCAGCAGTGATGCTGCCTCAACGGAGAGGATAGATTAAGCCACCTCCAAGGTTCTGTGGAGCGCTGAGTCTGATTCCTTCAAACA